CCTGGGTGTTCTGGAACTCTGCCTTGCCAGCCCTGGTAGAGAGCAGGCACTTTGTCAGATGTTCTGAACCTGCAGCTCAGCAATGCGACTGTCCCACCACACTGCATCAGGGACCCTGCCTACATGCTCCTGCCCTGGTTCATGCAGCCCTACACCAGCCAGACTGACCCATGACATGCACATTTCAACAGGTGCCTGAGCCGGAACCATATGCTGGTGGCATGTGCCTTTGGCCATCTGAAGGAATGCTGGCACACCCTCACCGCCCACCCCAAGGCCATAGGGGCCAACATCCCCATGGTCATTTTTGCCTTTATGCTGCATAACATCCGCGAGGTCAGGGGGAAACTCTTCCACGAGGCATAGGTATAGGAGGCACAAGAGGCAGAGGACTTCTGGCAGCAGGAGGGTAGCTGTGACTGCAATGACAGTGACAGACCCCTCCCCCAGGGGCCCTGAGTGAGCTGCACTCCCGGGATCAGGGGCCAGGTCACTGTGTGCAAGAGGCGCTGGCAGACTACCTCCTCCTGCACCCCCTGCTGTAGGGCACCTGGGTCAGGCAGCCAGCCAACCATAAACCCCAGGTCCATGGTTCACCTTCAACACCACACTCACTGCAGAGTTTCCAGCAACAGTCTTTATTTCCCTCCCCAAAACAGACGCCTCCTATTCTTCCTCCCCAGATTCCCTCTCACCCTCCCACCCCAAGCACAGACCCCACCACCAACCCTGCCACCCACCACCAATAAAACACTCTTCTCCATGCAAACTATGTACATTGTGCTGTGTGCCCTTCTGGGGTAGGGAACAGTGGGGTGGAGGTGCCTATGGGGCAGATCCCAGAGACAGGTGCCCAGCACCCCAGCCTCTGGGCACACCACCACACGTGCAGATGAACTGCAAGGCCAGCGGGCAGGGGGCTCACCCAGGGGCTGTTCTGGTTGCACTGCTGGTTCCTCCTTCTCCTCCATCACCTAGCCAGTGCTGGCCCTGTTGTGGGCAGCTCCCCCTTAGGGGCCACATGGTGCCTGGGCAAGTGGCAGGGGGTGGCCCAGGAAGGGGGCCCAGCTACTGGGGGACCCGGTGCAGGGGGAGGGGGCCCTGGCCACTGCAGGCACTGCTGCACCTCAGTCCAAGCCCAGTGTGCAGGGCTTGTTCCTGGGTGGCTGCCAGGGGCAAGAAGGGCCAGAGCCAGGGGGTGGTTAGCAGGCGGCACAAAGATGACCACCAGGGCCAGGATGGTGTCCAGCACCTAGCAGTCATCCTCCGTGGCTCCCTGCTGCTCCTGCACCTCCAGCGTCTTTGAGAAGGAAATTGTGCCATTCTTCAAGGGCCAGCAGCCAGTCACGGAACGCACAATCCCCGTGGCCCCTCTCCTGCTCACGTATGATGTCCTGGGCACACCAGGCCCGCTAGTCCGCCAGCTGCTCCTCCACGATGGTGACCAGCTGGTCCAACAGAAGGGCGTGGTCTAGTGTTTGCTGCTGGCAGAAGCAGTGCTTGTGGAGGGCACCAGCAAAGGGTGGCAGTGTCCCCAAGAATGCATCCCCGGTGACTGTTGGTGCCTCTCCCCTGCATGCAGCTGCTGGACCTGCAAAGCCAGGAGAGAGAGGCTCTTTGTGAGAGCTTGTAACATTTCAGAGATAACATGCAGTATACCAAAGGGCTGTGCACTGCCCAGCCTCAGATTGGGGGCCATGCCCACCCTGGTGCTCAGGGACTATGGTAAGTTGGAGAGGCAGCCCCTGCCCCAGGTAGCCACCAGCCAAGCCCTCCATCCCCACTCCCTCCATGGGGGCAGGCAGCCTGCTTGGTGTTTGCTACAGGCAGCCTGTCTTCCTGATCCCCTACCCACAGCTGCTCTGAGCCTACTCCCACACTTCTCCTGCATGCCAGGCAGTTTGCTCCCATGGCACCAGGCCCATGCCAGCCAGGGTTGGGGAGTGAGGGGCTCCATCTGGCTGGGAAACTGAATTGGTAATGCCCCTGCCCTCCCCACAGTGGGCCTCTCTGAAGAAGTGGCCCAAAGCAGGGTCCCCCTGCACGTGGTCTACACCCCACGCGTATCCCTGCTAAGAGTTCCCCAGGTGCACCGCGATGAGCTCCTTGAGCACACCAAGGGGAGCACGACACACTATGGCTTGCTAATGATGATTGTCATGGTGCCCCAGGTGCATCTGAGAACCTGGCGCAGGGCTCTGAGCTTCAACAGCACCCCGGGCAAGCCCACACTTCTGCACCACATGAGCCACCACCTGGAGAAGTATCTGTACCTATGCTATGAGTGCCTGACCCCTGCACCCAAGGAGATCACTGCTGCCATCAACAAGCTTCTCTGATTGTGACAGGCCCCTGGCTGCTCAATGAAGTTCTGCACTGCCTCCCGCCTCCCTGTGTGTTGTGAAGGGCAACTCCAGGGGAGCAGAGGGAGCTCAGCTAGGCAGGATGGGAAGGGGGGCAGGGACAGAGGAGGGCCTCTCCTCCCCCATGCAGGCCCCCTAGCTCCAGGTATGCAGTCCAGGGCCGAGCAGGAGAGCGGATGGCAAATGTCCGCAGCTCCACCTTCCCCCCCCAGTCCTTATCCTTATATGGGGCTTACCAGATGGGTGTGGCAGGCATCCCTGGTGGCCTGAGTGTGTCCCTGCAGGTGGCGATGAGATGCAGCTGCTGGAGGTGTCCTGGGGTGCAGAGGCACAGCACCTGGCTAACCAGGCAGTGGCCCCTTCCAGGGAGGAGCTGGAGCTGGTCATGGTTGGTGCCATCCCCAGCCTGTCCTCAGTGGGGCTGCGCACCCACAGTTGGTTTGGCAGTCACTGGCCCAAGCTCTGGGCACTCCTAGACAAGGCCAGGGGTGGGGAGTGTGCCAGGACCTATTCCTGGTGCCCCAAGGGGCTCTTTCCTGTAGACAGATCGTCACTGCTCCAGTAGGCTGCCCATGCTAAAGTAAACTGCACTGCTGCATCCAGGATCCCAGGGAGCCAGGATTTGGTCCAGCTGCCACATAAGAGGGCTAGGTCCTGAAGGCAGCCCCAGACCAGCAGCTAGGGTCCATGACATGGACCCACTCTACCATTAGGGCCTTTATGCAGCACTGCTGTGCTAAACACTGGTGCCTATGCTCCCATATGTGGCCCTCCAGAGCCTCATATATGTAGACATTGGAGCACCCACCCCAGGCAAACTGGCTCTGCACTTCAGCATTGTCCCACAATGCAATCTGGTCAGCAGTCTCTCCCTGTGACCAGTTGGGTCCCTGTGACACTGTGTGGTATCAGTGAGAACATCATCATGGGTCCTTTGACAGACATCAGGGGCTCCACCAGAGACTCTGATGCAGCACAGGGACATGGTGCGTGGGAGGCAACCAGGTGGTGGGACTGGTCCTAGGGGCTACTGCTGGGTTCTGTGGGCCTGCTGTGGCCGCCACAGGTCCACTGTTGCAAGATACAATCCCCAATAGTAAGCAGCAGGGGGAAGAGGCCCCAGGGTCAGGCCAGAGGTTTAAAGGGCATGCTGCGGTAAGCAAAAAGCAACCCCAGGACTGCAGCTGGAGAAGCAAATTGCTCCTGATCAGTGTCTACACATACAGTACTGCACAGTACCTACGCATTTACTAGTAGTAAGCTAACCATGCAATAGACCGGGGGTATGCATACCCCTGGGGGTACTTGGGATGGCACTCAGCAGCAGACGCCACTGCCGTGCCTACCACCCAACCACACCCGCTGGCACGCCCACCGGCACACCCACCACCACTCCCCCCCCATGCTCATCAACCGGCTGCTGGGGGAATTAAGCAGACCATCTTTCCCCCAACAGACCCAGTTTCCCTTCATCCAGGTATAATTAAAATCAACTATCTTAATTAAGTTAGTTTCCTCTGGTTGCTAAGTAACCAACTGTGCAAATGAAACTCAATAGGTGTAACCCTATTCCCTAAAGAAACATTTCCTATGGCTTTGATAAAAAAGACAAAAATTTTAGTCTGTTTTTAAAATGAATGGTTCAGCAATATTGTAAAGAAATAGCAGCTAAAAAAAGAGACTTAAAACTGGTGTGCGTTAAAGCAAATAAATTCTTGCTGTCTAGAAGTTTTGTTTAGTTATTATTGTCTTTGTTATTAGCTCAGTAGAAGAAGTTGGTCTGACAAGCTGATAACTAGATTTCATTCTCTCCTCTTTATTTAGCTTTCTGCTCTATTTCTTAGACCCCCGTTACTTTTGGTTCCAGGTATTTCCTTTCCAACCCCTCCCCCACCTCATTCTCTCAGGTCAACAGTGAACTTTAATTGAACGTTTTAAAGAGAAAGTCAATTTAGACTTACTTATATAATTTTATATTTATAAGTAGTATATGAAGTTACTAATAAAAGAGCAGAGTGATATCTTAAGGTGTCTGCTTTTTTTTGTTTGTTTTAATTATGAAACATTTACAACATATTCCAATTAGCTTCCGGACTGCTTCCTTTTGTTTGGGTATATTTCTGCCCAGCAAGAAAAAAAAGAAAACAATTTTCAAAATTGCCCATAAATATTTGCAAGCTACAGGCAAACTAAGCTGCAGATGTAGCACCTGAAGCTACTTTTAATTTTTTAGTTAACTGTGAAATCTAGCCATAGTTCTCTCTCCCCACATTTTAGTTTATCCCTCTATTTTAGTCTGACTAGTCCCAGTTCTATGCCTAACTTTACTATGAACTATTTTTTTCCAAAAGGTATACAAATACTCAGCAAATTCTTGCAAATTGTTGAAATCCTTATAATATTGTAAAGTTCAGAACCTTTTCCTCCATGGGTAGTATTAAAAGGAACAGCAAAATTAAAAAAATACACTAGTTACTTCATTATGATGAAACATAATATTTGTTAAATATCTGAAAGTCATCAGTATTATATGACAACTTAGTACACAAATTTATTGTAAATGAAAATATCATTGTTAACCCTGTAAGCAGTACTTTGCATACCAACAGGCAGAGAAAACAATCCTTGAAGTGTTACCTCTTTGCAATCTTTTACAATGGGTTGCACCATAGTCAGATCCTGATGACTGCCACCAATTGCACTGCTAGTGCTTTTGTTTCTTGCATGTCCTTTTTTAAAGGGAGTTTTTCCACTAGACTGAAGCTCTTTCGTTGGTGACGTTGGTGAAGTGGACAATACTAGTGTTTTCAAAGCTGCTACTTCAGCTTGAAGAACATCAATCTTGAAAATGAAAAAAAAAACCATTAAGTCGCTTGTAAGCAAGACAATTTATGACACGGGTATATTAACTGACAGTTTTGCCAGATAGTTAATTTTCAGAGATGGATAATTTATCTTGATTTGCATAAACAGCAGGGATGTGTTCACCTTCATCAATAACAATGCTGTTTTGCTCTGTCCATTAACAGCTATTTAACATTATGACAGAAAAATTTAATTCCATACTGAGAAGATTTAAAGGGACAATACATCAGGATACTGAAGGATAACTCAGTAAGTATTAGCAAAAATGTACACAAAGCAACAACTATTTCTAGATTTTTAATCTAGGAACAGCTTGGTTTTAAAACACTGCATAAAAACACAAAAATTAGATCTGAAAAATACCCTCACCTTTCCCTGTGCTTCTTTTAACTGTTTTTCTGCAGTGGCTTGCTTGACATTAGCTTCTCTCACCATTTTGTGCGCTTCCTATAAAATAAATGTTTACATGGTACAAAATTTTCATATGCAATTTAAGTACACATTTCAGTAAAAAAAAATCTTCAAAGTAAATGACGTAATATCCATGTCCTTATGAAGATTGTGTGTGAATAGTAAGATGTATGATCACTGCTAGAGTTAATATTAAAGCAATTAAATAATCAAAAGACCTAGAAACCTATTAACATTGACAGTGAGAGGGGGAAATTAAAAAAGAGTAGATTAGTGGCCCAGCAAACTATTATTTTCAGTCCCAATTGCAAAGATCTAGCCCCAGCCAGCACCATACATGGCAGGAATTCCAAACTCCAAGCAAGCTGTGGTAGTTGCCAATTGAAGGCCATTGATCCTCTGAGAAAAAACACTCAACCAACAACCAGAGAAGCAACATGGGTGCACTTTCAGAACTAGCCCTGGGAAACTATTAATTTGTTCATGAAAACAGCTGGTTGAATTAAGTCTAAATCCTTAGAAGCTTAAAAAAAAAGTAGGCAAACAATTTTTTTTTTTAAAGATAAGATTAGGGATTAAACCACAATTTGAAAAAACTCAAGCTAAAGAGAGACACTAGGAATAATCCAAAAAAGTAAGCAAAATTTAGCATAATAGTAACAGAGAAGCAAAAAGAAAAAATCCTTTCACTCAGTACTTCCAATTTTAACCTGTATAATCTGCATATTTACATCCTGACTGAGCAACTTACTGCACATGGGCAAACTCCTGGGTCTGCCTGGTACCAACTGCAGTTAATACAAGCATCAGACCTTAAACTATACATATTCTTTGGGACAGGGATCCATCTTTTATCTGTAAAGTGCCTAGCACATATTTGGACGCTATATAAATAAAAGAAAAATGAACAGATTACTGCATTAAAGAGCTTTGGTTCTCACAGGCTTACAAGATAGCTCTATAATATGGAGTTGTCAAATAACCTTAAATCACAACAGGTACATGCAGGAATGAGAACATACACATTTATACAATGTGTACAGATAGAGTTGACACTGATCATGCAGTTTTAAAGTTGTGATGCAGATCTCAAAAACACAAAGGGCGTCATCACATTATTATAACTTTCAGTGTTTGGGATGTAACATGTTCTGTACAAAGTCCTTGATTCTCCACTGGGATATGCTAACACAACCCCCCAGGCCCATTTGCAGTCCCACCAAAAATCAATGATATTGTGCATAGGTAAAAGGTTTCAAGACTTTTAGATCCCAATGCAGAATTAGGGCAGCTCAAGGCTGTCAATTATCAGAGAGATAATGAAATCGAATCACAAATGTAAAGCTTAAGTGCCATATTCATAGTTGCTGGAGTTTCTGAAAGCTACATTTGTTAAAGGATAGTTTTTAACAGTATTGCATGCATAACATAACATACTTTTCTATGGTGCTTTGAAATAGCATTAGCTGAACACTGAAGTATGTTCATTTTTTTACGTAAAGTTGTTGTCTGTTTTCTCATTTTTCTTTCCCCTGCAACCATTACCCTTTTATCTTACTATGTACCTTTCTAGTCTTCCATTCTTCCTTCTCCAGTCAGATACTTCAGAACATTATTTTTAAAAGCAGTACTGCCCATTCTAGTGAGATGCACAGATAACCTATGCTGCCATTCACAGAGAACTCTATTTTTGTTTTCTTTAAACCTTCAGGCTCTGAGAGCACTCCACTCCCAAGCGCTTAAAATAAAATATTCAAAAAAGCGCACACAGTTATGGGGATTTTCTTGATTAATCTCCTTGTAATTTAATGTGGATACTGGAAACCAATATTTATTGTGGTAAGTTCATAAACATTTTGAAGATTGTGTCTGTCAAATTCAGTTTCTAGGTTTGCCATGCATGAGAGAAGTGACAATTAGCCCTAGATTCGGCTTCATCATAAAGCTATAACCTACCTAGGGTGTTCTGAGGGGGAAATTAAAGTCATGATCTTTATAGTTAAGAAAAAGGCAGTGATACCAACATAACTTGAACAACCTACTTCCACACTGATGGGTGACTCGCATGCATATAGATAGCAGTCATGCTTTTATTAGACTTCTTATAACATTCTGTGCCAATTGGCCCAAAACATAAAAGCTGCCAGCATGAAACATTATGCTGTACTTGTACCATTGATAAGGAGCAGTCATATTTCCCATATTCCTCATTATGACAGTCTCAAATTGACTACCTGTCTATAAAACTGTGTTGACAAATAAACTGACTCAAATAGAAGATGGTTATGCAGACAAGCAAGACTATACATTTTAAGCTTTCTGGTCTATTTTTCTTCCTCAATCTGGCTCTAGACAGGTTGACAAGCATAACAAGGTCTCTCATATAAAGTTGCTTGCTCTTAAGTCTCCACCTCAACAGACCCCATTCTTAAGAACAAAAATAAATCCCTTTACAAACTTTATGCAAAAAATTCAGAATATAAACATACTGATTCTACATAACAAAGCTGGCCCAGTCTCCTTTAATTATATCACAGCGAAGACTCAAACAAACCTCAAACAGACTAGCTGTAAGTTCTTCCAATTCCTGTCCAAGTTGATCTCGCACTTTAGAAAGCCTTTCACATTCTTCATCTTTTAACTTCAGCTCCTATGGAAAATTGAAAGTTATTTATTCTGACTTAATGTAATAATTTGTGGCCTTTGAAAGCTAGTACCAGAGGGAAAAATCAGAAAAACAGATAACCTTTGCTATATAAAACCTTTCAAAACATTCATCTTAACACTAAAAGCAGTATTAGTGTTGTACATGTACAGCTAGTTCTTTCTGCTATATGAAAACTTGACACACTAAGCTAAAGTGCAATCAAACTAAAGATCTCTTTCCAAAATTCTCTGAAATACAAAGAACTTCTTTCTTGAAATACAGAAGTCTAAATTAATTGAAACACAACATGAAAGCCAAAAGGAGAAAATAAAATGACGTTAAATACTGCGATTTTAAGAACTATTCCATTACTACTTGATGTGTTCGTTCCTTAATATGCACCTTTAAGTAGACATGTTTAAAGAAATGTTTTCCTTCTACATCTTAAATAAAAACATTTCCATAAATACCACTCCCACGTTTCATAGTGTTTATATATTAAGTATAAAGTTTTACTTCCTAAACAGCAAAGCCCTAATTTCTAAATGACATTTCTGCTCCCTATGTAAGCAGTGATATGTAGTGAATCAAATCAGTTAAAACAGGGGTATCAAATACAGGACCCAAGGAACCATTTCATATAGCCCACCAGGAATCTAGCAGGCTCCTGAAGCTGACCTGTCACACAGTTCAGGGTCCTTGGACCCTGATGGACACAGTCATCAGCAGCAGGCCCCCACCCCACACTGCCACCCAACACTGGCCCTACCACAGCTGCTCCTGGCCCTGTGGATCTGGAGGATCCCCCACACACTCCAGAATGGCTTGGGGACCAGGGTGAGTTTGACATCCCTTAGTTAAAATGTGCTATAGTTGTGATACCAACCTTCATTGGCCCATGGCTAAGTAAGTAATGTTCTATAGGAGACATGCTTCACTCTCCCTTTCAACCTGAAAAAATGTGTCTACGGAAAGCAAGATTTCTTGTAGCTTTAAATAACATCAGAGGGCCTTGCAAGGAACAATATTACCTATGAACCACAGGTTGAGAACCACAGGTCTGCAATACCACAGAAATGTGGTTAGGGAGGCAAAAATCTCATTTACACTAAGCAATGACAGGTTATAAGAAAACAATACACCCCACTGAGACCCTTTAATGTTCTTCTCATCCTAGTTCTTCTTCAGACTAGTTCTTACCTACCACAGACACAAACTGAACTACTAATGAATTAACCAACTAATTTGATGCTCTTGGCACTCAGCCCTGTCAAGCTAACACATTGTCCTTCTGGCTCAAAACCACCCACACACTATTAACTCCTTCCTATCCAAGCCTCACCAGCTAAAAGAAGCAAGCCTTCACCCAGAAGCACCCAGGACAACACACAAACACCAACAAACTTTCCCTACGCGTGAAGAAGGGCTTTTGTGCCTGAAAGCTTGCAAAGAACAATTTTTCCAACTATTTAGTTGGTCTAATAAAAGATATCATAGCACCCAAAGAACCTTGTCTACGTAAACCCTTCACCAATGTATCTACCTCCAAGGGTGGAAGCCCCTCAAGAGCTCTCACCTCCCCACCACCTTGGTTTTAACCTCTCTTATGAATGCACTAGGCTCAGAACTCTTTTCTCCTAATGTTCATGGCAATGCTAGGCTCAGAGATCTCCCCAGTCCTATATGCAAAAAAGAAGAAAAGGAAAAGGCAGCAGAAAGCAAGTACACACAAAACCTGAAACAGGTTTGATAATCGTATTCCCTAACCACAAGCAGCAGGAGGAAGAGGATACATCAGTCTGTGCACTATAAAACAAAGTTTTCTGTAGTAGCCTTACTTCCCGAAATCATCAGATACAACAACAAAAGCCTCCCAATAGTAGCAACTAGCATAGCATTATGAAGTACATCATGCTGCAACTTATATCAGTGGTTCTCAACCCTTTTAGACTCAAGGCGCACACAGCTCTTATTTTTCCACTCTTTTCTTTATTATGAAAAAATACAACTTTTCTACTGCAGAGAATTGGAAAGATAATAAGATAAAGACAACAGGCCATAAAGGCTTTTTTGGTTTTTGTTTGTTTGTTGTTTTTGTAAATGCTACAGATTCTTATTTGAAATCACTGGGTTGATGTTGTGAATCATGTCTGTACACCTAACGTTGTGAAGCATCTCACAGTACCCCTGAAATGATCTCAAGGTACCCCAATTAAGACTCACTAGTTTAAATCCATCAACCACTAAATACAGACAACTGCTTGTAATCAGGCAGGAAAACCTTGAAAAAACAACACCACTGAATACACAGAAATAAGCTTTTATCTAGCTATTTAAAATGAAGCTTTTGGATCCACAACTGTTTCTAGGTTACAATGACCTTTGGTATCCTTCTAGTGAAGCTAGGATACTCCAATATATTAAGTTTTGCCTTGAAGATCACAAAACCTGTTAAACTAGTACAGAATCCAACTGGCACACTCCTCCATGAGGAGGAGGAAACTCACTACAAGACAAAGCCAATGTCCCAAATATCTGCCAAAAGATAACTGGAGTAGGTTGGTTCCTATCCACGTAATTCAGCTGGTACAATTCAAGTGTTCCTAACCTTGAACAGTCCTATGAGAAACTACAACCTGCCCAATGGGATCATGTTGAGATTAACTTTTGGTCCCCAATACTAAAATGAAACTTGCAACAATGTTTTCTTTGATGAGGGATCCCACTGTTAACTACTGAAGACATCTAACAAACCTAAGAACACAGCTCTAGGAAACAGTTTACTGGGTTTTTTTCTTTAGTTTGGAGTTTAAATTTTTATTTTGACTTTGACTTGGTACTGGACGTTTTGCTTTCCATCTGATGCCTTTTAACTCTTTTGAAATATGGCTCTGGTGTTTAATGGCTGTACCCTGAATGCATAAAATATTTCAAAGTGCACTCCTTCCATCTTACTGTCTACTGTCTCACACAGTAGCTCTAGCTAGCTCTCCCAAATAGAAATTTCAAGAAACATACAACAGATTACAAGGAGGGAGACAGATGCAAACCTAGGACAGAGAAGAAAAGCACAGACAGAAGAGGACAGGCAAAATCATGGAAACAGGGAAATAATCAAGTAGGAGAAAGGAATTAAAACAGGAAAAAAACCCAAAACAAAGAGAAGACAACACTGAAAGTCAGCAAGGTTAACACTGGATTCATGGTTATTCTTTGAATAACTGAATGTCTCAAGCAAAATATGGTCGTTTAGAAGAGGAAGGCTTTGATCAAATACAGGGGAGGGGAAATTATTTCAGGCGAAGGGCCACTTCCTGAGTTTTGGCAAGCTGTCAAGGGCTGCATGGGTAGCCCTGTGCCTTGATAGGTGCCCTGCCCCCTGGTTGCCATCTTGTGACTAGAAGTCCCACCCCCTAACCCCTGACCGTTGCCACCAGAAGTCCCTCCCCTTGCCCCCAGAAGTACTCAGGGGTTTTGCCATCTCAGAAGCAGAAAAATAGCACGTTATATTCTAAAAAGTGAACATCTACAACATTAATTGATTTAAAAGAATATTTTTGTTCTGGTTTACATGTGTTTGTGTAGTGTACGTAGAGGTGATAGTATAATAGCTTAAAATGAAGTCTTATTCTTGTATATTG